TCAAAACAAACAAATAAAAAGAGATGTAATTCTTCAAGTGTAGTAACAATTTAAATTTCTGATGTGTAGAAAGAGCCTCTGTCCTTTGTTCAGACATTACCTGGTCCAATCTAAGTTGCCTAGGACTTGGAGAATTCTGAGAGTCCTCCTGATCATTGTAACAAATTGGATGTGAACTGTCTATACATGAAATCCAGGACTTGGAGCTTTCAGTCAGCAAGTGAAGAAAACTTGGCACCAAAATCCAATACTTCAGAACCTGCGTGTTCTATGTACGTGCCTCCAAATATCTGAGATGGAACTTCATTCTTTTATGTATAGTGGGGGTGTTTATTTATATAAAAGTGTGGTCAAGAAATTGTCTGGGCACATTTTGCATTTGTTTGGGTTAAAACTGCTGCCTCATCAGCAATTCTAATAAAGCAGCATTAGTGTCAGTTCAAAGGGCGCATTGCACTTTATTTTTAAAGATAATTAAACATATGGCTTTGTCCACATGAAGTGCCTGCTGACACTATCTGCTGAGCCCTGAACCCTGTTAAAGCAAGGATTCTGGGAGCTCTGGAGGACATGAAAATCTGCAGAGGCTTCAGTGCCTTATATATAATATTGCAGTGTTTACACAGAACCCAAGCATGTCCTCCTGTACTTATTCATCTTCAGATGACCCATACTACTTAAAACACACATGCTTCCTTAGTAGTAACCCTGCTTAGGGGGAAAATGACAGGACAATTTATTTACATCTTCCATAGGTAGTGGGTTGGAACCAGGGATGCAGAATCTTCATGCATAGAGATATGGAAGGTGAACAGAATACCACCACCACCTTGCTGAAAAGGAATGCTTATGATCTAAACTGGAGCCCTGGGCTTTTGCTTTATTTTCTCTGGAAGAGTCCTGTCCACCAGGTAAACACTTTACATATGTGCTCTAGGGACCTGAACTAGCCACATCCAAAACTGAGTCTACTTTCTTACAGCAAGACCACTATTGAGTATGAACTGGAATACATCTGCCCTTAAAGTACCTTCCTGTGTGAGAACACACAGAGTCCCAGAGAAACTCCGCATGTCTCCTTTGTTCGAGGCCATTACTTAGGAAACCTTATTCCTGTGATTTCACCTGCTCTCTCTTCCTCTAGGCCAGTGGTTCTCAACATGTGGGGTGTGACTCCTTTGGAGGGTGAAGAACCCTTTCACAGGGCTTGCATATCAGATATCTATATTATGATTCATTAACAGTGGCAGAATTATAGTTATGAAGTAGCAATGAAAGTAATTTCATGGTTGGGGCTCATCACAACACGAGGAACTGTATTAAAGGGTTGCAGCATTAGGAAGGTTGACTCGCTACTCTGTTCTCTCGTCTTGCCTGTGCTTACTTTGGTTTTGCAATTAGCAGGTTGCACCTGTTTATAGTTATTTTTTTGGAAGATGATTTCTTCTTGGATTGGTCCATTATTCTTTTGATTTTTCCCCCTCTAGTTTCTTCAATTTGCCAAATCAATTTCTTTTTACTTGTTTGGTAAGCTTCTTGACATTTTTACCTATATGGATGTGCTCTCAACACATCTACATTGGATGGCTTATCTCATTTTCAAGATTGTTAGCATAATCATCTTCATAGGTTAAGAACCCACTAAGATCATTCAGTACACCACAGGGTCATCGTGGGTTCTGTCAACCCTCTGCTGCACTTGGTAGATGTGTAGAGGTTGTTGTAATGTTAAAAAAAAAAGTGGTGACAGAAAGACACCATGCCACAGGGTTCAAGCAAAGGAGTTTATTAGGGAAAGGGATCATAAAAGGGGGAAAGGGGGAGACCAGTCTCCAGGGACAGGAGCAGCAGGATAGAGAGGGGGGAGGGTGGGAAGAAGAGAGGGAGGTGGGCAGGGCCCTTTTAAAAGGGAATATAGTAAATAGACACAGGCGGTGCTCTTAGTGGATGCAGCTGAGACATATCCTGCCAGAATCCCAAGGACAGGCCAGTACAGATGTCTAAATACTAACAGAGATGCCATGGGGACATGGGACAAAGTGGTATGCCCTATGCCAGATGCATGGTTGTGACTTGTGAATCGATATCCAAACACTGAGGTGGCTTCTATTGCTATCAGCCACGACTAACAAGCATGATTTTGACTTAGAAGAAACATGGTCTTTATATCTAAATATGGATCTTTTGTACATGTGCACTGTGAAAGGGAAATTTTCACTGTTTTGATGGGAAACGGTCTGAACAATGTTTGAATACTAAAATGCAGTCATTTAATGAACCATGCCTGGAGCAAGACATTTCACAGGCTATCAGAGCATTTCTGGAAATTCCATCTGTAGGCATGGCAGTTTGAGTCCTGTTTGTATTGAACAGGTCACGATGCCTGTCGTTCATAACGGAAGAACTTTAGAATACCAAAATCATTGAATTATATTTGCTCCAAATACCTATCTTAAATGTCTCATTCCAGGAATAATACTGGATTCCTCAATTTTATGTTTAGATAGATCCCTTTCAAGGGTTGAAAGACAACACCTGGTCCCGAATATGAAATATTTGCCTTCTTCCAGTTCCGTGCCAACAATTGTCTCACAAAATGATCTGAAGAGATTATGCAGTTACACAGGAACCCACCAAACTTAGGATTTCATCTATGCCTGGCATGGGACATGGGAATAACAACCCCATGTGAGCATCTTGCTGCCACAGATGCTTCTTTCTCTTCTCTGGGCATCTCTAAGCCTGTATGCTTAGCGAGAAAGTTACTTTCAATGCCCTCACCACTTGGCATACTCAGTGTGCTCTGCATTCCAAAGGGATGGTCCAGTAAAGGTACTTTGACGGTAACTCAAGAACATTCACCCTGGTGAGTGATGTCACCGCCTGGCAATGCTGCAGTTGACTCTGTTGCAGAGGCAAGTGCTTCAGCCTCCAGGAACATACTGGCTTTAGGAATAAATGCTAATGATGGTGGCAGAATCACAACAGGACATTGGCAGCACGGGGTTCCTCCTGGGTATTTCGCACAAGTTTTACTTCAGCAAGCAAGCTTGGGACAGATTTAGTTAAATAAGCTATTTCACCAAACAATAAATGGCCTCAAGCCCCAACAATCCAGAAGAGAATATTGTAGCCCCTTCCTTATATTATTGAAGCCTCTCTTCGTGTAGTTTCAGTTTTTTGGGGCCAAGATCCAGAAAACATTATGTGAAACATTCTAGAAATAAACAACATGTAAGTCTGCAGTGCACACCATTGTGAGTAGAGTGATATATAGCTTGTAGTATGCCGCTCTGTGCCTCGTCTCCATGGTATCCCTGTGTGCTACCCATAGATTAGGGACTTAGCAGCCCTCTTGTTTATTGCGTCAACTGTGCTGATAATGTATTTCTTGTCTTCTTCTAGGTCCCACTGTACTGGGAGTGCGGTTCTAATCTGCTGAAGTGAAGCTATAAAGTATAAGTGCAAAGGGGCGTGTGCTCAGCTTGGGACAAAAGAATACACCTGTTCCTGATACTGTGAAATAGGATGAAGTTCATGCTACATTTGCTCTAGCACCTCGAACTGGAAACACTGTAGCAGGGAAGACAGGAAAAATTAAATTGTTATCTGTTTAAGAGAGAGCAGGCTATGAGGTTTGACACTAACATTCCAGGAATATCCTTTGGGGGGGGTGTCTTTGAATGAACGTTTGGCTGGTGGGTGCACAGAGCACTCAACAGTGAGACCTAAACAAGCCCCTGACCATGTTCCCCCAACTACCACCTTTCGTTTTAATTGTATTCATTTTCCTTCAGTATATGCACAGAAGAACTTATTTATCAAGAAATAATGGTTTAAATTGACTGATTAAAAACCACAATTTTTTCATCATTGCAGTCTAGAATTTTTATCTTCTATCATTTTCTGTGTGCTTTTGTTCTATTTTCTTATTGTTGTGATGAAACACCGTGATGAAAAGCAAGTTGGGGAGGAAAAGGTTTATTTGGCTTACACTTCCACATCAGTGTTCATCATTGAAGGAAGTCAGGACAGGAACCCAAACACTGCAGGAACCTGGAGGCAGGAGTTGATGCAGAGGCCATGGAGGAATCTGGTTACTGACTTGCGTCCATGGCTTGCACCACATGGCTTGCTCAGCCTACTGTCTTATAGCACCTAGGGCCATTAGCCCAAGGATTGGCACCACTCACAATGGCCTGGACCCTCCCATGCCAGCCATTAATTAAGAAAATGCTCTGCAGGCTTGCCTACTGACTGATCTTATAGAGGCAAATCCCTTTTCCCAGATGAATGTGCCTTGTGTCAAGTAGGCATAAAACTGTTCAACATAGATTTCTTCTCTTCCTCCTGGCCTCTACCCATGCAACCATTTGTCCCTCCTGGCTGAAATGAAATGCCATACCAATATCCACACTACTTTTGTCTCAGCATCTATGTAGCTCCCACTGCCGCACTAGTGAATCTTACTAAAATCCATGTATTTCAGAGAGTAGTCCATATCAGCTATAAAACTATGCTGCTGAGCACAGCAAGTGAGCTCCCCATCCCTCTTCCAATTCTATTCAGTGGTTCTCCACCCTAAGTGTGTTAAGTGTCTGGACCTTGCGGGGGGGTCACGGCATGCAGCCAGGTAGAGAACCAGCATTATTCTGCCCCCTTGGTGGGCTACAGGAAGGACTATGGACAGGTCAGAGTTCAGGTCAGTCAGTTCATGACTGAGCATCCCAAATATGCCTCCCTGATCCCCATCTTCTTCTCATCGCCCTGAATTGAGTTGGCCCCTTATGCTCTATGGGAAATCAGAGAGCTCCAAAAGAGCCCTGACACACAACATCCACCTGTGGCTGGCATGCTGGAGGAAACCAAATTTCCATGTGGCTCCAAGTTCACCTATATGAAGGTATTTTTCACTTATACAGGAACAAATTCACGTGCCTCATCCTACTACTTTAGACAAGATTATGCCCGTTACACAAGAAAAGTTAAAGACCAGGACATACAAGTTAACCGAGAAGATTTAATTTCCCTGAGATTTTTATCCCATAAAACATAAATTCCACTCACCAGACCAAGGGCTGCCAAAGCGTTCTGTGCACACAAATCAGCTAGACAGCTCCTCAAAGTGGTCCCTAGCAGGAATGTGCTGGGGCTGAGGCATGTAAATTTTCCAGGACATGGTGGTCTATAGACCACACTTAGAACAAGACATTAGATAAGACAAAATAAAATAAAGCAACATACCAAAGCAGACAAACTAAGAAACAACCATCAGATTAACAAATCACTAAGGTCACAGAATATAGGACAACAGTGTTTCTCTAGATACCTGTTGATTCTGGTTTCCATGTGTCTTATTAATTTCAAAGCCTCTCTAAGTTTATAGGTTTGGCTTAAAAAACAAAGTGCTATGGTCTTAATAAACAAACATGGCTACCATACCATTTTTAGGAAACTGCACTGTCTCTGAGTGCACAGTCTTTTGAGAAACACTTCTGAAACCTTCCTTCTTTACATCATGAGGACGACACATTTATGGTCTTTCTGAGCCCAGTCTCCATGACATTTAGATGCTGCATGAGAGCATGGCCGTTCATGCCATGCTTTGGTCTCTTAAGAATTCTTTCCTCCTGTGTTAAATTCACAGCAGAACCAACTTAAAAGAGAACTTATATTTTTTGTAAGCTGAAGAGGAAAAGGGATAACATTCACGCTAAAAAGTAGTTTTAACTCTCATAAATATTTGAGTTTATCCCACCTACAACTTTTAAAACTGTGGAAACACCTTTACTGATTTATAAATAGTAAACATTAGAGTTAAGAAATACTAGCGCATTAAATACCACTTATGATTATGTGTTATATTAGGGTGAAAATTAGTGGAATAATCAAGAGGATTAAAAGGAATGTGATTTGGAATGTGTGTGAGAGGGCAGGCCCCTAGACAGTGCTCTGAAACAATCAATGTGATCCCGTGGTCAACAGGCTGGCCCATGTGAGTCTGTGAAGCCCTGTCTTGAACCTCTCCTGGGTGCTAGTAAAATGGTGGCTTGGAGTCACAGGGAAGGGTGTATCCACACTCTCATGAGTCAACCTGGCTCTTCCCAGGCACCAGAGTAAAACAAAATAAAGCAAATGAGTGACTTTTAAAAGCCAAGTAGAGTCACCTCTCCCGGGCCTGGGATGGCCTTGGCCCTTTCTCTGTATACAACATCTGTTTCAACAGCACTCTGTGTTGTTTTCTTCATGGCCACCATGTTAACACCAGGATGACACAATTCCCCAGAGCCCCAGCATCTGGGATCCCAAATCTTCTCAAAGTCTAGTGATTTAGCCTTAAAGAGGAGAGCAGCCACCTGGAAAGCTGCTTCTTTCTAATGCAGACTGGTTCCTGAGGGGTGAGAAAGGTGATCTACCACCGTGGCAGGCAGCAAGCTCAGGGGCATGTGCAGTTAGCTACTGAAACAGTGCTGTCTCTGGCTTTTACTTCAATCGAAACTAGTACACCTCACAGTGCTCCTCCCCCTCCACCAGAAATGGCCACCGGAGGAGTAAAACCCCAGATTTGGCCTTGCAGGGCCTGTGCATCTATGTGTCTTGGGGTGAGCTCAGCATCTGACTTCTTTTTTAAAGAGTGGAGAAAGCAATAGGTTGGTTTAAATAAAGCAGCTCCTCCCAGCTCCTTGTGGCTCCTGGGTTTAGCAGGAAACCTGCGCTCCAGAGAGGTGGCCAGCACCTATTTTCTTTGGGACATGGCTTCTCCCATCCTCCACACCCCAATGCTCCCCCACCACCATCTTCCCCTTCTGTAGCGCGCTGCCTTTCCCCAGCAGCAAATGCTAACATTACTGGCCCAGGAGGGAGAGAAGCCATCCGGGTAGGCTGTGGATATGGACCCCTGGCAGAGCTGTGCTCAATCTAAACCTTCCTGTCTGCAGCTTACTTCTGGTGGTCCCGCTGGCATGCCTGTGCAGCTGAGGACTGGCCACAGCCACCTGGAAGCGACTGCACTTAGATGAGCCACCATCTCTGAAACGCCCTTCTGACCAGTCCCTGTCCCTGATTTGCCCAGTTCTAGTTCTGCTTCTCCAAGTGGTCCCAATCCATCCTACTCCCTTTTTAGTACCTTACTCCCATGCCCCCTGGAATCTGGTTTGCTTAGTGACATGATTAAAATAGCCACCAGGGCTAAAGCCACACCCAGGCTTGGGGGGCCACAGGGACTGATCTCTTGGACGACTCCTGAGAGGAGAGGGGCAATGATACGGCTCACGGCAGTCACAGACTGGCCCACACCTATGACAGTGCCACTGGCCTGGGCCCCGCCGGCACTCAGCTGGAGGTCAGTGGTGCAGGTTCTCCCGATGCTGGTGGAGAAGGACAGGAGTGTGGAGGAAAAGACCACCACACCCATGGTGCTGGCCACAGAGTAGAGCAGCAGCAGCAGGCAGGTGAGCACGCTGGAGTGCAGCAGGACCATGTACGAGTCGTGCTTGTACAGCTGTAGAATGGGCCCCACAGCGAAGCCAGCCAGGGTGCCCAGGGCACTGGTGTAGCTGATGAGGTATCCTGTGGTCTTGGGCCGCACCCCGAAACGCTCCTCCAGGGCCAAGACGAAGTTACTGTAGTACAGCATGACGGCCACCCCCATCAACAAGCGCACGAGAAATATGTCCCATAATGCAGAAAATATGAGGCTCTTCATGTCCTTCAAGGCCGACGTGACTTCAACCCAGGGCCTCTGCACTTTGGTCTCAGTCCTCCTGACCTTAGGGGTGGTGGCTGCTCCCTGCGGTGTACCTTCCGATTTTCTGGGGGCTGCAGCACGCTCCTGAGTCCAGCTCCACCCATTCCCTGCGCTGTTGAGGTTTGTTTCTTTCCAGGGTGACAGCCAAACGAGACCTGATGGCACGGCAAGAGACCTGTTAAAGCAGCCAGTGTGCAGAATTCCTACAGTGGCTCCTTGGGGGTTCAAAGGGGTGGTGTACGAGATCGCTCACCTCTGGTTTATGCTGCACTCACTTGGTTATTGATGTCAGCTTCCCCACCATAACCACAGCTCTGCCGTGGCATCAGGACCCTCACTGTGGACTCTCGAGCTTTATAAAAAGCTACTCAAACTGCACGCAGGACAGTTACTGTCTCCTCAGCTCGGGTGCTGGTGTCTCGTGTGCCATCACGTGGTAGCTATGCTCCCACACTCATTGAAGTGTACGCGTAAATGCTTTTCCCAACCAGCTTCCTAATTATCTGTCTACCTGTGCACTCCGCTATTCAACTGTATGAGCATACACAGCTCAGAGTGCGCTTCCAATGTGCTAACGACACCAGAAATGACAAATAAATGAGTCAAAGGCCCGTGAAAACCCTGCCCTCATAAATCCCAAGCCTAAACGGAGATGGGGACAAGTCAACAGGCAGCTGGCTTATAATGCAGAGGGCCATGCTGAGAGAGGGACAGGCTGCTAGTCTAGCCATGATGGGCCTTGGCCGGGGGCCAGGAAGGCAGTGGCTTTGGAAAACACCAGCTGGCTTCTTTGCCACCTAGGGCCACCAGGTGTTTTTCAAGGGTCATACCTGAAAAAACGCAGAGTGCCATGAACACGGACCATGACACCCAGCCTTACACAGCAGACATGATGGCCACTCAGAGAAGCCAGTCACTGACCCCTTGACTGGCGTGCAGTTATGTTGTATGACAGGAGCGTGAAACTGAAATAGCAGCAGAATTTTGAAAGTGCTACAAAAAACCCTGTTCAGAATGACCAGGCAAAGACTTCAAAGGAAGCGAATGATGAGCAGTGAAGGACCAGAAGAGGTCTGGGAAAGATGCATGAGAAGAAATGCGGCTGGCAGGGAAAGTCAGCACAAAGCCTTCCTGTGAGAGGCAGCCTGCACATGTGAGGCAGGCCAGTAATCCAGGCTGCATGGCGGCACCTTTGGGAGAAAGGACGTGGCATTGCCCATCACTGTGCAGGATGAACAGAGCATGTCATGACTCTGGGGTCTGTGGCAGGAAAATGCATAGTGGCTCTATCTTTTCTAACTTCCATATTTTATTGAAAAGTTTAACAGCTCTATTAAAAACGGACGTTTTCATATAAATTATAATAACTAATGTATATCATACAAAATAATGGAATTGGTCCCTATCTTATGACACGCACACATAAATGAGCTCAAAGTACATTGAGGACAAAGGTAAGACCTACACGCATAACACCCTGGGGAAAAGGGAGGCAGGCAGCTTCTGAGAACTGGGCTTGGCATTGATATTTCTGGGTATGCTACCAGGACAGGCAACAAAAGCACAGAGAGGCAGTGGACCTACAGCAAACCGAAACCCTTCCGCCAGCAGGAGGACCAGTCTCTGCAGCCAAAGGGCAAGGTAAAGAAAAGCTGTCATTTGCAGATCCAGTATCTGATTAAAAAACAAAAAAAGCTAATACTAAGTCAGACAAAACCCCAGCATGGGGCAGGGAGGTGGCTACAAAGTCCTACTCCAGGTGAGCAAGCTACTGGTAACTGCTGTGGCCAGGAGAGGGAGAGTTTGCCCTAGGGGGCGTGGCCCCTGGTAGGCCTATCACCCTCCAGTGAACTGACACACTTAAGAGACTATGGGCAGCATTAAAGGGATTTTTTTTTTTAAGTGAAGACACAAGCTGGTTGGGTATGGAATGGGGGGTAATGTATATGGAATTCTTTTTTGCTTTTGTTTTTGGTTTTTGGTTTTTCGAGACAGGGTTTCTCTGTATTATCTTGGAGGCTGTCCTGGAACTCGCTCTTGTAGACCAGGCTGGCCTCGAACTCACAGAGATCCACCTGCCTCTGCCTCCCAAGTGCTGGGATTAAAGGTGTACACCACCAACACCTGGCTTGTATACATAACTCTTAAACAAATATAAAACTAATTCATCTGAAAAATAAGGGCTCTCAGATAATAGATTGGGAAAATGATCAAAATTTAACATTTTGCACTGTTGCCTATAGCCTATGTATGTTTCACATTTGTATCCAAAGTATTTCACATGTGTAATAATATTATAGTAATTACATTTTTGTAAATCTCTTTTTTTAAAAGTTAATATCTAAGCTATACAAGGTATTCCTTCTACTCAGCAGCCAACAGGAAAAAAACAAAACAAAACAAAACAAGATTTAGCAAAAGGCTAAAAGCTTCTCTGATAAATGGTCAGCAAAATAGCACCCAATATCACCAGCAAACGGAAGTTCAAGTCAAAGCCTCGGTAAGACGTTCCCTCCTCCTCTGAGGGGATTATTCAGTGATGACAATGACAAAATGATGTGATTGAAGATGCTGAAGAAAGGGAAGCCTGCACAATGCTAGTGGGGACATACAATGCTGGTGAGGACGTACAACTGTCTAGTCGCCATGAGAGCAGCAGAGAGGATCTTCAAATCAACACTCATTCCTGAACAGTGACTCTGCCTATCCGTTATTATTAGTATTATTCCTTGGAGCTGAAGTTACAGATAGCTGTGTGCCACTGATACAGCTGCTGACAAACCTATTCTGGTCCTCTGTAAGGGCAGCAAGAGCTTTCAGCCCTGAGGCATTCCCTTGGTCGTAAGTTGGCCCATTCTGTATTAAAACAACAACAAAACAAACAAACAAACAAACAAACAAAAAACTCACAAGGAGAGAGAAGTGGGGAACTAAGTGTATGAGTTCAACAGTCAACTCACCAGCATTGAGAAGGAAGACGGAGGAGCAGATTAAAGCCGTCACGTAGAAGCCACCATCCAGTTCCGTCAGATACCCACCAACCATGGGGCCCAAGATGAAGCCTACACCCGAGGCTGTGTTGAACTGTCCCAGCACTAGTGGACGCTCCTTCTCTGTGACCAGGTCAGAAAGCAGTGCCCTGGAGATGGAGAGGGTGTGTTTAAAAACACCTGCAAGGGAGAAGAAATGTGCTTTGTAACTGTCTGCACTCTGGAGGAGCAGACCCTTATGGGCTACTCTTCCTCCCTGAACCAAATGGAATTCTTGCTACCATTTTCTCCGGACCACTAAGGCCTACAAGACTCACCCCATCATAAATGGAATCCAGAGCCAGCACCATAACAATGGTAGGTCACCTCATACTTGGCATTGGGTGTCCTAGACTTCAGCTTGGTCATATCTCCTCATGACACCCCATCATTCCTTGTTATCCAGTTGAAATTTCTGGTAGGTCTCGGGCAGTCCAAATATCCAGAAATGAGCTCAGCATAAGCTAGAGGAAGATTTCTGGCAGTGAAATAAAAGCCAGATTTCCTCAGAAACTTGTGAAACCAAAACCAGTTTCCATCTGCCAAGGGAGTCATTTCCTTTCTCACTGGCAGAAGGAACAAATGGCTACCCATGGTTCATAGTCAAAGCACATGGTGGCCTCCAGGTTCCCTCGGTGTCATAAACACCCGCTATGTAGGCTTCAAAGTCCATGCTAGCATCCTACTCACCAACTCTTTTTCTTTCTGATGGCAAGGTTTTTCCTACTGCCCCAATCTTCTCACTGTATTCGCCCTCTTTTTCTATCTCTCGCTACCCATTATTCTCTCTATGTTATCTTATTATATTCCATTCCCTCTGACTCTTGCTATCTCACTATCTCCCCTAATCTCTCCCATTCTCCTAGTCCTGGCTGTGTCCAGTCTACCGGCCATGTTCAGTCTACTTCTTTCTCTTCTCTGGATATTCTCTCTCTTTTACCTACAATGAAAACCTTAAAACACACAATGGGGTGATCATGATGGCGGTTTCTTTACTGTGTCCCCTAGCATTCAGTGGCTTCCTCAGAGTTACCTGGTCACCATGCTTTCTCCACTCACTCTCTGTGAACTATTACTGCACACCTACCCTGTGCCATCACTGATCTTAACCTGTGGATAAAGCAAGGAGGTAACCAAACAAAACAAAGTAACAACAACAAACAAACAAACACAAACAATTAAATCATGGGACACGGATTTTTCTTCAGGTAAAATATAGAGAGTATATTAGGAGGTGATGAGGGGTATGGACAGGAACAGCAGAGAAGACACATGTGAGGAAGAACATGAGGCATTTCAACACCAACCGCCACACCCTAGTAAGACACTAGAATATGATGGTGGCTTTAGGTAACCAATACCAGCTGCCTCCTACTAGTCTGAGACTTGTGAATTTGTCTGCGAACTACCTGATGTCTTCAGCATGGCTATATGCTCCAGGGGATTATCTAACATACATGTGAGGAATACTTATGAATATACTGACAAGCCCTGGGAATGGGTTACCAGCCACTTTGGTTGACACATAGTAGCAACTAGTGTAAGCTCCTGCAGATCACTGCCCATCATTCCAAGATGTGACTTGACACGGTGGCTTCCGCTGGGCTCCTTACAGTATCTTGTTTGGCACAGCATGCTGCCACCACACTGAGTCTACTCCAAGTGTCTGACTCAAAATGAGAATGTGTGCACCGGACACACTGGACAGCTCTCTTAGAAACAAACTTACAAATCCCTTCTAGGATGACATAGACTCTTTCTAGCCTTGCTTTCTGAAGCATGAAGAAGGGCTGGGGTGACAGAAATTTTTCAAGACATCTTTAAGGGACTTCGTGCTATTCTTTGAAATTACATCCATACTGGGTCAACTTATGAGGGAAGAAGACTATGGGGAGAATATCCTAGAAACAAGTCAGGGCAGGGTTCTTTAGAGGTTGGCAACGAAAGAGCAGATGTCCAGTGAAGGCACACGTCTTTGGGATAAGTTTCAGGACACCGGGTCTGAGTCTACAACTGACTGCAAAACTAGAAAGCCCGGCGAGGCTGGCGAAGTTCCTAGTATTCTCTGTCATTCACGATCCTCAAACATTGTGAAGGGTCAAGTGGGGGCAAGAAGGAATTTTGGATTACTCCTGTTTGCAAAGATCATGATGTCCATATACTTGAAGCACTGGGCCACTCAAACTGAATGAAAATAATTCCATTCTCCCCTTAAATCTCTACCTGTTTTGTGAACAAATTTAGGTTCTTACTCATCTCCCTTAACAGATTGTAGAGAAACAGGGACAGGCCACAGCAGAATGGTGGCAGAAGGTGAGGTGTAGCGCTGAGAGACACACTGGGAACCAAACGATGCTACAATAAACGCAACATCAGAATGCATGTGAGCAGCCATTAACTACAGTCTTGAATGTACTGGTGGAGTTTGTGAGGGTTGTGGATCATGCTTCAGAAACTTCTAAATGTAAAGCCAAAGAAAAACCACCCATATGAATGCAGGAGGGTGCCTCCAATAGTATTCATGTTCTGAATACAGGTCAAACAAAGTGTGATGATTTCAAACAAACTCATTCTCACTGTATGTTAGTGGTAGAGCATACTACTCCTCTGGGTGTTAATGCAGAACAAGTAGCTAACTTAATGAGGGGAGATGTCCAGCGTCATAGCAGCCTGTGACTAGGGTCATGAAGTCTGTCCATGCTACACTAAGGAAAGAAAACTGGTGAGATTTGGGGCTCTGAATGCTAAGAAAGGCAAGGAGGGATACAGTTACTATAGCAGGTCCCCACACGCCACACAACTAAGATGTAGTTTCCGAAAGTGGATAAAACATCTCCATGAAGACAGAAGTGATTCCAAGGTGTTAGAAATAGTCATGAGCAGTCTGGGGAGAGGAGACCAGCTCCAAGTCCTCTTGACATAGGGTGCAGACTTCTCCAGTTAGCTGTCAAACTTCCGGAGGGCTGCAGCACAGCCACTGAGCTATGTCTCGGTGTGACTCACAGTGCTAGCCAAAGACATCTTACATGTTCTGAATTGTCTAAACAAACATGGAGGGTAGGATAATGGAAAGGAGACAGGTCAGGTGTGGCAGAGTAATTCACCCTAATGAGTCTCTGATAGGCTCTGTCATAGGCTATGATGGGAGCTTTGAGTAAGTTACCGGAGGGCCTGCCAATAGTAACTGCTCAATAAACAGCAACCACTGTTCAGGCAGTTACTGCTGTCATTACTACAGCAATTGGTCTCTGCAGGTAAGCGGTGATTGGAGAGGCACTATGAATAGGCTCAGGTTCACATAGAGAAATACACTTCAGGGGTGGGGGCAGAACTCACCCACAGGGACTCTAGCCAGCGTAAACAGGAACACGTTGGTGGATACTCCAAGGAGGAGATAACCCAGGGCACTGAGTAGAATGCAGACCAGCAAGGAGGACCTTCTTCCGACCACATCACTCCAGCAGCCCTGACAGGAACAAGCAAATGTCTCCAATAGCAGCCACCACCATACAGATACCAATACAATATGTCCCTTGGAGATGCCAGGGAACTGGATAGTGATAAAAGTTCTGTCATGGCATGTGCGATATGTTATTTTCTCTAGCCATCCCACAAGGTGAGTGAAACAAAAAAAAAAATGCCACATCCAACATGATACCTCATGGTCCAGTAGCTGAGAGATTCACTGGAAGGTGAAATGCAAGGTTAAATGCCAAAGCCTCAGTTTTGTCTTCATTTTTATTGTTTTATGCAACTACACTCCTCAGGAACCAGGAGGTTTAGAAATTCAAAAAGTACAAGAAAATAAAGTGAATGGGAAAAAAAAACCTTCCTAGTCCCAAATCTATGCAAGCACAGGCCAAATGGGAGAAAGAGAGGCCAGAGAGGGTGGTGTCCTGCCCAGGGTGGAGAGCAACGTAGACAGGGATCCAGATCAGCTCTCTTAACTGTTCTTGTATTTCCTCCATTCCCTCACAGCCAAACATCAACTAAAAATAAAATCAAGCCTTGTAGCAGGATGAAAATGCTAGCCAGAGTGTACCTGAGATCACTGCCTTAGGCTTAGACGGCCTGATAGCTCGTCCTTCTTCTTGTAGACCATCCCAAAGTGTGGGGCCTGAGCAGCTAGCTCTGTGGGAGCAGAGCTAGAGGGCTAAGAGCTGGAGAGAGGAGAGCAGGGGAGCAGGGGAGCAGGGGAGCAGGGGAGCAGCAGCAGCCACAGCAGCAGGAGTAGACAGGTGTCTGCTGGCTGCTCCGACCCATTAACAGCCCGCTACAGCAAGCTTCACTGGAAAAATAGCTGTCACCAGGAGACTTATTCCAACCTGGTCAATGAAAAATCATTCGGCAAATGAGGGCATCCTCACTCTGATGGAGACTGAGAGTGAGGCCTTGCTTGAACGGAGTATCTCTGCCATCACACAAAACTCACTAAATGTCAACAGCAATGCAGCCTCGCCCTGCCTCTTCCAGTGACCATTGGCTCCTGAGCAATATCCTGTTCTTCTCTGCCCTGGCTGGGAGGGGACTGATACTGTGTCCTGTGTCCCCCAGGACTTAGTAAAGAGCCACCTTCCAATGAATCACAGATCCTCAGCTCACCTCTCTTCTTGCCAACCATACCTGTTCACCTTAGGAGCTCCAAATGTGAACTTAAACAAAGACAGAAATGGTCCCTAAGGTCTTCCCAGCGCTCTGTAAAACATTCCAGTGGTAAATCCTTTCCAACACAGACATCCTACACCTTTTCCCCAGTCTTCGCTTGAAAGGGTTTCAGAGATTGTTCCACATTCTTCTGAGCATGAGGTCACCTGTGTCACAGCTTAGTGGCATAATCAGATAGTTCTACACCCTGGGCTCTGGGCCAGGCTGTCTGGGTTCAACTCTGAACACTCATCACTCCCTACACTATGACCTGAGACACAGGTTAACCTCACTAAACCTCCGTTTATTCACCACTGACATCTACCCCCAGGAAGTATCTCAACACTTACTATAAGCCTAGTATGAAATGAGTGTTTTCTAAGAAGGGTCAGGTGAGTCTGCTCCTGCCTGACTCCTGGATGGCCTTAAGGCCTCAAAGCTGCTCTCTATGGACAGTTATGAGGGTTAAATGAGGTATTCTGAACAGGGCCACACATTTATAAATGCTTAATGATGCCAGTTAGTTTTTATGAAAATGAGTAGATCTCAAAAATTTACCTAATTCAACAAAACATGTACACCCTTTCTTTGTGAAGATCTGTTCTTAAAACGTTTTTTATAAAATGTGTAATTAAAATATGCATAGGTACTAATGAAATTATTGGTTAAAGGGGGCATTTTAACTGTGTATCCCTCTATCTTAAAATTCCCTAAGGGAGGTTTTCATTAAATTCCAGCCATATGCTATATGAGATGTGCTGCATAAGTTAAGGCCATAATGAAAGGCCAATATAAGACTGCAAGTATGGGCAGAGCCAGCAATGAAAGCCCAGTCATAAAAGACAGTTCTGTGCCAGTTGCTTCCATAAGCAATAGAGATAGAAAACAGTCATAAAGATATTTCTGTGCCAGTTGCTTCCATAAGCAATAGAGATAGAAATTAATCGATTAATTATGCCTGATCTTCATCCTGGAGGCCAGAGGCCGGCAGGAGGGAGGAGAAGAGCACTGCATGACTAGCCTGCACCACCATCTCTGCCCTGAGATCCGAGATCCAGACCCAGGAAGGCTTTGGGATTGAGTTTCCAAATGAAGCAGTAGAGTATCTGTTAAAATTCCCTACATCTTCCTCACAACAGTGTGAGACACACATCCTGCCTGAGGAGTGACTCTAGTCATCCATCTGTTTATTTACTGTGTCAGAGGAGTGCAGAGGGCGGAGCCCAGCACGCTAGGCAGGCCCTATACCACACTATACTGTGCGGATGGCGGAGCCCAGCACGCGAGGCAGGCGCTATACCACACTATACCGCAGCCCTGCTATTGTGCCTTCCACTAGCAAAGCAATGGCTGATGCCTTTTAATAAAAAAAGATAAAGTAAGTTCATTCTGGAATCTGAGATTAGGTGACAGGAGTCAAATTACTTAAACCCTGTAAGTCTTAATTTCCTCCCATTATAAAGAGGAGGTAGGTAGTGGAATGTTGCAAAGTTCAAATGAGAATAAACTTGAGTGTTACATGAATTTAACGTTTTTAGAAAGACGTATTTATTGTTACTTCATGTGCCTGAGTGTTTTGCCTGTGTAGATGTCCATATCACACGTGCATGCAGCATCTGAGGAGGACAGAAGGCACTGGATCAGGCTAGACACAGCGGCACATGGTACATGCTGTTACTCCCAACAGTTGAGCAGCTGACAAATCTCTGTAGGTTCAAGGCCAACCTGGTCTACCTAGGGACTTCTAGGACACAAATAGTTACATAGAGGCAACCTGTCTTAAAAAAAAAGGAAGGAAGGAAGGAGGGAAGGAAGGAAGGATGAAGGAAGGAGAATATTGTATTCTATGGAAATGCAGTTACAGGCAGTTTTGAGCTGTCATGCAATGCTAAGAAATGAACCCGGGTCCTCTGAAAGTGTTCCCTTTCTGCAGTACCTACCAGTTTAGTGTCTTAAAAAACATGAAAGATAAATCAGGGAGTAACTATTTACCTACCTAACAATGTATCATAGAATCTTACTCGATTTCTCTTAACTATCCTTAAGGGGGTAGCCAGGGAAAACACAATTTTGCTAAACTTGAGATGCTAACCAGAGCTTCAATCGCCATGGCTGCCGATCTGTGAGAATAAGGAGATAACTATGAACCTCCCGAATGATGGACACTGGGGTCTCCAGAATGCCCACAGTGGGCCCGCACAGGGAGACAAACAGGGACGCTCAACAGCAGTCTGGGGATTTCAGACTACCAAATGGCCGAGAAGAGGGAGAAAATCACCTCTGAATCCCCCTACTCTATTTATCTGATATCTAACTAACCAATTAAAGTGATCTCTACCGAGTGCTATCACATAATGAGGCACTTAGCTCAATGTACACACTTCCATACAGAGTGCTAGACATGTAGGTGAGTCTGACTGCTGTCAATTACACGAAGCAAATAATGGGTGGTAATTTCTGCTTGTGGTCTTTTCTCCAGTACAAAAAATCAGTCATTCCTTTTCCCCAAGGTATACTAGTGGCTCACTGAAGTACACATGCCCCCCACCCCATGTCCCCACATGGGACAAAGAAAGACAGAGGACGGGATTCTACCCTGTGTCCTATCTAACAAGACTGTATTTTCTAACCATCTGTCCATCCACTATTCAGTAACTCTCAGGCCCTCCATTTTATAAGCACCGTGGTGGGTGACTCAGAGCGGCATGTGACTGCGCTGGCGATGGGCTACGGGACAGAGGACAACTTACTGGATGGAGCATGACTTACCACAAAGGTGCTGGAGAAGAGCTGCAAAGCACCGTAGGTGGAGCCTGAAAGGCAAACAGTAATATTAGAAACGGCAGCGGGCATGGCTGCGTGACTAAGGAGACAATCGGGTAGAAATAAGGGGAAAACTAAGGGGGGGCTACATTGCCCTACACCTTTCTGCAAAACTCTTAAAACTCTTCAAAATAAAATGAGAGCAAGCAGAAGAGAATGAAGGCAAGGGCCAGTTTTAGGGACTCTGAACACAGCACTGCTCTGTTGTAGAGAGTGAAATTCAGAATCCCGGAAAAACAGGACTGGGCACTGTTTATTTATTTATTTATTTGCTTTGTTTTGGTTTTTTTTTCATTTGTTTGTTTTGGTTTTTTTTTTTGTTGTTGTTGTTGTTGTTTTTCGAGACAGGGTTTCTCTTTGTAGACCAGGCTGGCCTCGAACTCACTCTGCCTCCCTAGTGCTGGGATTAAAGATGCGAAACACCACCACCCGGTCTGAGCACTGTTTTTAACAGCAACTCATGTCTCTCAAGCATCTTAGAGAGGAGAGGATGAGCGAGTGCATTATATTTATGGCTGGAAATGCCATAAGTAACACGGGTGACAGCAATAGTGAAGACAGGCGGGTGAGGATGAGCGGGTGAGAACGAGCAGCATTTGAAAGGAAGCAGCTTTAGCTACATAACAGATAAAAAGTTTTCCGTTGTTTTTCCCCTCCTTTACTGTGTAACAGACCCATCTGGTTTTTCCTAAAGGTCTATCTACATGCTTCCAAGTGGTCAGCATAACAGAGAAGGGATCAGGATATAACAAAGGTGATGTAGAAAATTGCCCGACTTCTTCTCCAACCTGTGAAGAATTCTAGGGCTGTTAGCACTAAGGGTTTCTCAGTAGTTAGCATGCACAGTTGTAAGCCCTGGATACTCCTGTCTCTTTCACGAATCTAATTTGGGATGGAATTGCATGCTGTATGGGCAGAAATTCCATGGGACTCAGACTGAGACATGCTGGTGGTATGGGAAGCTTGGAACTCGTTTCCTAATGTGGTCACTGAAACCCTTTACCATCAGCTTTGACTTCCATAAATTGACCCTGTGGGCTTATATTAAGTTCCAGAACTATGCTTGTGGACAGGAGGCTATGCCTCACCTTCAACATACACAGCCCAAACCACCAGAGGCCCAGGAAGCAGAGCTTCCATCAATATGGGAAGTGGAAATAACTCAAAGCTCAAAGTCTTCCTCAATACAGGTGGTCTGGGAAAACTCCATTTACTCCAGGGTGGTACTTAGAAATGTTCTGGAAAGTCATTTCATTTCCTATTTACTTTTGATGATAATTGGTGGCTAAGGGCTAAGTTATTCTCAGAGGACTTGAGATCCAGTTTTGCAAATAAACAGTATCAACCACTTACCCACCACTCCAGCAACTACAGGACTTACTCCAAGGGACTTGACATGAAGACTCAACAGTGGGACAACCATACTGACAGCAAACAAGTCCTGTGAGAAACCAAAGCCCAAAGGACTCCAGTTAGTCCTGAAGCTTGGCAGTATTTAAACCGGTGATTCCAAAACTGTAAGTCAATTTCAAACATAAAGCCCATGGCTAAACTTCAGAGCAAAGAAGAAACCATAATAGTCAGCCACAACAACCAGGTGTGTCATGGAATCCAGATAAGTCTAAATGCCTGGGATGTGTTCACCTAGGATCAGTTTTCCTTGCAGCTTCTTTGTGATTGGCCTGAGGAGGATATGCAATCCCTGAAACAAAGCAAGAAAGAACTCAAAATCCCACAGTGTTATGTGGATAATGAAGGAGGGACTGTTCGTGTTTAATGATAAAGCAGTTTTGGCTTCAGTAAGAATCTCCAGTTACAGGAAGGAACTAATGGACCAGAGCCTGTACTTTTCCAGATGGCCTCTTGCCTTAGCTTCCCGAACGTTGACATTACTAACATGTTCCATCACTCTAGGCTTTAAAATCTGACACATATCAATATCTGGAATCGGGAGAGCATGAGGAAGACAGAAGTCTGGTGAAATACTGATATCCACAGACTAAGGTAATTATGAAAATATAGGCTCATCAGCAAATAGCTGGTGATATTATTTTAGCCCCTTGTGAGTTTAGAATCACACCATTTTTACAGGGAAAGATGGCTGCAGACTCCTTCTCAGGGAGTTCTCAACTAAATCCCTTCTTTACTACAATGAGGCAATTCCTTCCTGATCTAAACTTTCTCCAGAACCATCATCTCATCATACATGTTGCAGCCATTCATAAGGAAGTCAGTTAGATGGGGCCACCTAACCTTTCCCTTCACATCGGCTTTTCCCCATGGAAACTGATAAATACATCAAAGCTCTGGGGCCTTTTATAGGATGAAACCCAGTGTTTCTCCAATGGTGGATTATCTCAATGAAGATGAACTATCACCTACTACAGGCTGGGAAGAGGGAACAGAAACTGACCACGTGTCTGGAGAAAAGGGGATAAAGTCATAGACCTTAGCACTGTAGACGGACTTACTTCTTATTAATTATGAAAGCTTGGCCTTTAGCTTAGGCTTGTCTCAATTAGCTCATATAGCTTACATTAGCCCTTCTATATCAATCTATATTCTTCCTTGTGGCTTTTTACCTGGCTTCCGTCCTACACCTCCTGTTTCCTTTTTATGTCCTTTGAGTCTCTCTCCCAAGCCTAGATTCATCTCTTTTCCTCCCTTCTCTCTCCTGGAAGTCCCGCCTATACCTTCTGCCTAGCTATTGGCCATTCAGCTTTTTATTAAACCATTCACAATGACATATCATTACATGATGCGATCAAATATCTGGAAACATTCTCCAGCTACATAGCACCATCTTAGCTCGCTAACCAAAATGAACCAAATAAATGAGCTTGCTGTTCCCATGAAACAAATTAAAACCTCAAAATGTCAAGAGCTTAAACTAGAACACGTGGCAAATGACTTCTCCAATCTATCTGTGCTCTTCCTCTTCCAATCAGAAACCAGTTTCCCAAGTCTTTGGAGTGCCTAAATATATGAAAATAGTAAGCTGTGCATAATACCCTTACATGTAACTTAATAAGCTGGAATTAGCTCCTTCAAAGATAGACAAAGCTGCATCTGATCAAGCTCTTTATAACATTTTTCACTGAAAAAAATCCCTAATCTTTTCAAAAAGGAATTTGTAAATCATATGTATTTCCCTCAAGATATGCTCCTTAAATATATTATCCTTTTGCATATATTACTACACTTCTCAGAATTTTACATCAGACTAGATTTACCATGTGCTCAGCATATGGAAAACATGAGAGCAACTATGACTATCCAAGTCTGTGTTGGAAGGTCACACATAATGAATGATGTATGAACTGCTTTATTTCACTGTAATTCTCAAAACTATTCTCAATTCTGGCTCCTGGGAGTTGCTGAGACCCTCTGGGTAAAATCTGGATATTCCAAGTGATGGCCTGAGTTCTTTTCATCTGGCACAAGTAACGTAGGTATCCTCTGTAGTAGAGCCTCAGTAGGCTGGGGATATATATCACCCCAAGTAGATGGCGCCTCAGTGGGCTGGGGATTTCACCACCTCAACTGGATGGCAGTCAACTACTTTCCCAGAACAAGTCAAACTCACTACCTTTGAATTCCAAATAACTAGACCATACAGTGGAAGTAAGCCACACTTGCATCCTACGGCACAACCCCCCCCAAAAAAGTGGGGGTGGGGTGCAGCTTAGGTTCTCAAGTCAAAGGCATGGAACCTACGAAGGGAAACCGTCTGTCCCAGAACCTGAAAGTTCATTATAGACAGAGATGTCTCTAAGGTGTGGTCTTCAATGTCTCCTAGCTTTGTAAATACAGACATTTGGTGCTATCTGCTTTCTTTTTAAGATTTTAACAACTATTAATTGAACAACCTTCACCAACTGTTGGGCATTTTTCAAACGGAACAGAGGGGCTGCCTCTCTGTTCCTCACCTATATGACTCTGCATCCCAACTCCTAATTCTAGAGACCCATCAGTCTGGGAAGAAATAGGAGGCTTCATCTGGGCAGAGAACAGTTCCTGTTTACTGGGCTCAGCAGTGATCAGATATTAGTCACAAAGCCTTCTCCCACTGACCTTTCAATTAATTGGTTCCTTTGCCTGATGAAGAAATCATACAGGGTGCTTCTTTATGGTATTGCCATTGACTATCTTATAACCAGGCCTATTGAACCAACCAACCAAACCTAGACTTGAAAGACAAATAAGGGTGAATTAGGGACCCTGCACTGAAAATGGTCCAAGACTACTAACTTAACCTCACCACTAAAACTGTAAATTCTCTGGAAGCAGCTACGACAGCAGAGCTCTAGGGCATGTACCGTATAGCAGGCATCCAGAAATTCCATAAATATTAAATTAGTAGGATGATGGATGGTTGGAGAATGACTCCTTAAGCTTCTCATTTGTACTAGCTGGTTTTCCTGTGTCAACTTGACACAAGCTACAGTCTTCAGACGAGAGTGGAGGAAATGCCTCCTTGAGATCCAGATGTAAGGCATTTTCTCATTTCGTGATCAATGGGGGAGAGCCCAGCCCATGGTGAGTGGTGCCATCCCTGGGCTGGTGGTCCTGGGGCTTGCGAGAAAAGCAGGCTGAGCAAGCAAGCTATGGGGAGCAAGTCATGGAGATCAAGCCAGTAAGCAGCTCCCCTCCACGGCCTCTGCATCAGCTCCTGCCTTCAGGATCTTGCCCTGTTTGCTTTCCTGTCCTGACTTCCTTCAGTGTAAGTCAAATAAACACTTTCCTTTCCAGTATGCTTTTTGGTCAAGGTGTTTCGTCGGAGCAATAGAAATCCTAAGACATCCTTCTACAAAGGAAAAAGCCTACTTGTGAACCAAACCAATACACACATGCACATAAACTATTAACAAAACAAAAACACGTGCCATTTTGCTAAAAGGCAGTTGTGTGCGATTCACCTTTGACTTCCGATTTCAAACTTCAGGGCCACCTGTGTAAATGGGGGGGGGGTCATCAGCAGCGACTTCCCGACCCCTGCTGTGAAGGAAAGCCCTGTGTCCGTGTCCCTACCACACTAGCTGCCCCCAGAAGCCTCTGAACTCTGCCCTGCACTGAGCAGTGCAAACAGCAACTGAGGTCAGCGCTGACAGGGCAAGAAGAGACACCTGACAGCACACTTCAGGTTTCCGGCCGGAGGAGGGACATGCAGCCCTTCCCTTGTCTTGAACAGACTCAGAGTTTTACCACAGCCCCAGGGCGGGCACTCACCAAAAAGCCTACCAGGTAGAGACAGAGCCGGAAGCGGCGGGAGCCCGCTGCACCGGAAGCTGCTGTTGAGGTCGCTGGGGTCTCCGAGGCTAGTCCCTTCCCAGAAGCCCGTCGCCCGCGGAGCCCCAGCGCCATCCCGGCGCGGGCTGGGGGAGTGGGCGCCCCTGCCGCCAGCGGGCCACGCCCCCGAGGTGGGCACGCCCAGACTTGGCCACGCCCAGAGCGGAAGCGGTCGGTGTGCGCCTGCGTAGAACGAAGGCTCGAATGGGCTGCTGGTCTGCGGCTGACCTGGTACCGCGGGCGTCTTAATTCGAGAATGTTGACAAACGTTTGTGACAAATGGATGATGCCGTCTTTCCTGGCTCCCCGGTGGTGTAAGGCAGGAGGGAATTGTGTCTTTTTGCTAGTAATAGTTGTTCTTCAGTGGTAGCCGCTCTGGCTTGAAGGATCACAGACCCAGGACCCTGATTCCTACTTGGCTTGACAGACTTGGGGCAAGATAAGGTGGCTGTAGAAGCTTTGCTGTGCACTTGAGAAACAATGAGCAGTAATGTAGACCGATTTCTAGATCTGTGAAAAGTCTATACAGGATTAGCCAGCACTCTGTCGCTCTGCAAGGGGAACAGGACAGAAATGGATTCTGAGTTGGGCTCATGGCCTCACTGAGTAACGGTAAGCTCAGGAAGAGCGTGAAGAATTACGGATAGTAAACGTACAATAGACAACTACACAAAGTTATAGGCCACACGGCATAAGGAAGTATGGACCTTGGTGTACAGACCAACAAGAGTGAATGCCGTAGAGCCGCCCTTTGGAAGAAGAAAAGTCGTTCAAGCTGAGGAGTGGCAGCAAGATGGGTGTGATTTAAACATCCGAACAGACAGATCTAGAATAGAGAGGGCTTCAGTCACCTACAACCTAAAACGCCTCAGCAGAGCTTTGTGGTTTCATTCTGAGAGCAATGAAGGGAGCCAAGTGGATGTGTGGTATTAAATAATGTACCATGGCAGACAGTAAACAGTTTACCGTTCTTAGTAGACCCCATTCATTTATCTATGTATTTGCTTGTTTGTTCATTCATCAACGTATTCTTCTCTCATATAATACATCCCAGCCATAGTTTACCCTCTCTCCACTCTCTCAGTCTCTACCCCCACCTTCCCTCTCCCCCTGATCCATTGCCCCTCCATTTGCCTTCAGAAAAGAGAAGGCCTCACAGTGATGTCAACTGAACATGAGTAGCCCCACTGTGTGTGTGTGTGTGTGTGTGTGTGTGTGTGTGTGTGTGTGTGTGTGTGTGTGTGTGTGAATATCAGGTAAAATGCCTTGACCTGCAGGAATCCTTGTCTTGATTGTGGCTGGCTGCTTGGCTAAGGGATCTGTGGGAGTTAAAAACCCAGCACCTACTGCAGTGTTTCTTAAGTTTTGTCACCGAAGAAACTAGAATTAGTAGTTCAAAGTCTGACTTTGAAAAGAATCACATCAGCTAATTCAAGTCTTAATCAGAGCCTTCTTACTGAAGAGACCAGCCAGCTTGTAGCATTCACAAGACTCCAGACCGTAAACCTTCACACTTAAAAACCATAGCCCCTTTGTAGTGTGACTTTGTTAGTTAGCTTGCTCTCCATCATTACAGCAAAGTGCCTGGAGAATATAAAGGGGACAGTTTCCTTAGGCTCACAGTTTGGAATGCTTTAGTGTTAATGGGCAGGGATCTTGGTTCAGAGGGCACTTGCTAAAGTTTCCAGGTTCCTGTGTCCCAGGACAAAGGATTGCACAGGAAAACATAGTTACAAATAAAAGCAGAGAAAATTCCTTGAGTAAGGAAAAGCAGTCCTGGGAAGGGCAGTAGCCTAGTGATGTGGAGAAAAGTCTATGCTCAAAAGCACTGGGCCCTGAGGCTTGTAGACTCAGGGCCGTCTGACACGGGGTGCAACTGGCCCACATTTTTACAGTGTGGGCTTTACTCATTCAAGCTCTGTTTGTTGCTTTGTAGCATGGGTGGGAAGGGTTTCTGATCTTTCTTTCTGCCCACTCGATTCTTTCATATGGTAATCTTAGTGTGGCTCTTTCAGGTTCCTCTTCTCCTGACACACCTGTCCAAGCCCAGTGGAGCCTGTTGCTCATGGCTTGTGCCAGGCAGCACATCATCAGACTGTGAGAAAGCAAAGCTATTACTTCATGGATCTGAAGCAAGAGTCAGCAAGGCACGTGCCAAGGCCCCACTAGGGACTTTACAGGACATGCATACTGCTAACTTCAGCACTGGCGGGATAGTGTGTAGAAAAGAATGCTCTGGTTTGATGAGAATTGCTAGACATTGTCTTTGAATTGACACTCATTCTTAGGGTCTCGGAATGCTGTTATGCTCCATCAGTCAAGGTAGAATTATTTTGGGAGTCCCCAAGTCCATTTCCCCAGAATCAGAAATCTTCTTGAAGAAGTCACAGACTTCATAATGTAGTTGAATTGTGGTTTAACTTTATTATGTAAAAATGATGCAGAGTGTCCTGGTCTGCTTCCTCTTGCTGTGATAAACACTACCAAAAGCATGGGGAGGAAAGACTATTTCAGCATACAGTTATAGTACAACATCCAGGGCCACACTATTATTTGGGCTGCATAATTCAGTAACTAATTTTGCTCTTCAAATGCTTAGTTCTTTTGTGAAACCCTAGTATGAGATGCACAAAACAGTTCTCTGAGGTGTCCTGGCAAATACATGCCTTCTTTACCAGATACATATTCTTTTGGACTGCTTAGTAGCAAGCATACAATCAACAGTGGGATGTTCCCTTCATACATTGTATATTCTCTGTGCCTCTGTACTTGTTTCTCATAGATGCTATAATACACTGCCACAGAATCAGTGGTTGCAAACATCAGCAATTTGTTCTTTTGTGGCATTGGGGGCATGAAAACTACAATCAGTATCAGTGATTTTAAACAGAGGGGTCAGAAGCCTATGCTCCCTGTGGGAATTCTCAGGGAAAAACTATTTATCCTCTTTATTTTGCTTTCCCCCCTCCCGCCTCCAGCTTCTGACAGTTCACTCCATTTATTGACTTACAGCTGCATGAAGCACCTTGTACTTCTGCTGTCTAATCTTTTGTGTATGTGTCCTGTCTTCCTCTGTCTCCCTCTTTTAAGATTATATTTGATCACATTTAGGGCACACTGGATGATCCAGGATAATCCTAGTTAGGGTCAATTGTCAATGTGACACAGCCCATAGTCATTTGAGGGAGTCTCAATTGGAGAATTGCCCAGATCACATTGGTAGTCTGTGGGGATTTGTCTTGATTCTTTATTGATACTAGAGCACCCATTCCACTGTGACTGGTGCCATCCCTGGGTAGGGGATAAGGCCCTAGGCCATGTAAGAAAGCAAGCTGAGGGCAAGCAGAGAGCAAGCTAGCAAGTAGCTTTCCAGTATGGTTCCTGCCCCTAGGTATCTGCCTCAAGTTCCTGCCTTGCCTTCCTAAATGGTAGTTATAACTGAAAGTGTAAGATGAAACAAACCCTATCCTCCTCAGTTTGCTTTCACTTCCTTCACCATCACCCAGAAGAGACTGTTCTTACTGTGCCTAGGAATAGTTTACAGATGGCTCTGTTACAATGGCAGGTGGAGGAAATCTACAGGAATGGAGTATATCTTATGTCTGTGGCATAGAGAATGTGCGTTGGGTTAGAGATCATTTATGGTCTGTCTGCTACATAGCCACAATCCACGAGTTTGAACAGGAAAGGATGAAAAACACTGATTCCTTCCAGCTTAATGGCTAGCAATTCATTAACAGACCATCGCTCCCCAACCTAACAACAGCGAGCTCTGCTGATTTGGATGTCTTAGATCCCAGGGTGTCAGAGCAAAGGTTGTGTTGAATTAGAGGATAAGACCACAATCTGGACATTGAGGATAAGATTACTCTATTAGGTGGAATAATAGGTTCTAATCATGAAGAAGAAACTGAATTCACATTGTGCAGTTGGGGGAAAGGACTACATCTGGAAAATGGGCCTGGGGGAGACTGGGAGGGTAAAGCACTTGCCTTGAAATCACAAGGAATTCAGCTAATACACACACACACACACACACACACACAAACACGCACGTACGCACGCACAAACACACACACAAAGGTCTAGTGAGTTTGTAACCCAGTGCTGATGAAACAGAGACAGATGGCTCCCTGGGACTCCCTGGCCATCCAACCTAGCCATCTTAGTGACTTCCAGGCCAGTGAGAATCTGTGTCATAGAAAAGGATCTCCACTGAGGAATACCATTCTAGGGATCACCTGGTCTTCACTTATATATGTACACATGTGTGACCACACACACACCCATGACCATGCACACAAGCATACAAACCTAATGAAAGTAGTAGAAGTATTCAAGAATCGTGCCTTTCATTAACAAAGGCCTGTATCACTAAATAAACTTAATCATGCCAACCATACAGTACTTTGACTGAGGTCAAGTGAAATACAAACTATGAATAGGAACTATAGATAGGAACTGTGCCCTCACATTTCATTACAGAAGTGATAATTGTTAATATTTCTGTTTTTATTATACACACATGCTTATTTAGAGATGATAATGACTTATCTTCTTCAAAATATAATTTTATGCACAAGTATTTGGGGTTTGACTTTAGCTTGATGAAGAAGTGATAGACAATTCATACTGACTAAATCTGAGGGCCAATTAATGTAGACACTAATGAGCACTGAGCTCGCCATTCTTCGTTAAGTGCAAACTCGGAATTGTTGTACAGAACTAAAACGTGAACACAGGCGTGTCGGTGCATGCTTGTAATCTCTGCATTAGGGATGCAGAGCCAAGAGGATAAGGAGGCAGATTACAAAAGGCATGAAAGTAGAAAGGAGAAGTAGTTGTAGCATGGAGTGAATATGACCAAACTACAAATGCACATATAAGAAAATGCCAGAATGAGATCAATTATTGCATATTATTAGCATATGCTAAAAGACATGCTTAAAAAGAAGTCAAGGTTTTCTTCAGTTACATAGCATGTAATCTAGGTTACATGAGACCCTGTATTAAAAAAATCAAAACAAGGGGCTGGAGGGATGGATCAGCTTTTAAGAGTACTGGCTGCTCTTCCAGAGGACCTGGGTTCAATTTCCATCACCTACATGCAGGCAAAACAGCAATGCGCATAAAAAGCAAAAAAAAAAA